TATGGTATTTTAGTTTACAGAAATTGCAGACATAATGACCTGATTAAAATTGAAGGTGTTCAAAGAAAGTTCACCAAAGCTGTTCTGGGGTATTCTGATAACAAAGACTATCACCAAAGATGTCAGCAACTCAACTTAGAACCTCTTTGGATCAGACGTATCAAACTAAATCTTGTCTTTATCTACCGGCTTATTAACGGTATTTCCTACTGTTCGGTATCCATCCCTTCATACCTTATGATATCATCCCACAATCTACGCAATAAGGAGAATATTCTAGCGATTCCAAGAAACCACACAACTTACGTCAGAATTTTTTCCTTATTCGCTACTCAACCATGTGGAACAGACTGCCAGTGAACCTCCGTTGCAGTGAAACTACAACCCGGTTCAGAAGTCTCCTTGGTGATTTTCTTTCTGAAAGTGGATCATGCCACCTATTGAATATCAAGGTATTCGATAACGATTTATACAAACAAGGTCCGTCATCCTTTTAATTGCCTGAAAAGCAAAATAAAACCTTTAAATCTTTTGACGTCTATTTTATTTTATTTCTATTCATATTAATACATGAAGTCTGCTTATGTTCGCGTTTGTCATTATTACCGTTATTAATGTCGTTACTGGTTCCCCGATACATTAGATATTCTTTTTATCTCTTCTTATCCTTCTAAACATATTTAATTCCAGATTGTCCTTTGAAATCAATTGTGAATTTCATAGCATCATTCTTAATTATTATTGCACAAATATGTATACTAATATCCGGTTTCATTCTGTATACTATTACATAAATCTAAATGTATTCACCCGAGTGCTTTAAAGGATTTTTATTTTATTTTTTTTCAATTACCGGTTTCCTTCTGAGGTCGATTTTCTTTACACAATTATTATTCTTATCATGGATGAATCTTTTCACTAGGTGTTCACTTCTTTTCTTTCTCTTCTTTCCCTCTAAATAAATATTATTCTTAAGATTACGAAGTTTGTAATTAAGACAATAACTTGTATTACACTTAATTAACTTCTCAGACCCGTTTTATCTTCACTATGCATATATGACTCATACATATTGATATTTCGTTATCCTTTTCATTTAATTGAGACTTTCATAGCATCACTCTAAACTATAACTGCACAAACATTTATTCTAGAGTCATATCTTACTGCAATGATAAATTATTTTCTCTTAAATATTTTTTGTTACTAATTTGACAATATATACATGGTCGTTTATTCTCGTTCTGTGTTCATAAACACGCCTATTAAAATATTTGCGTATTTCAAGTCTCCTTTACTTCTATTCCCTTATTTTCTTCTTTTCCTTCTTTAAACTCAATTCAATATTCTTCTTAATCACACAGAACCTGATTTATTATTATCAATATTCTGCTACTATTACTCTGAAATTTTTTCAAATATGGCAAGTATATTGCTAACATCATTGAATATTGTGTATTAATGCATTTTTTTGAAGAAACCCGAAATGGTTTCTTCACAAAACTTATGTACCCGTAAGATGTTTGTGAATGATAAGAATAATCATCATAATAATAGACGACGTTTTTCGAGGTCTCAACTTCGTACATGCGTATGTTGATGACTGCCTCATCGCAAGTCTGGACAGAGAATCACATCTCAAGCATCTGGATCTTGTTTCCGATCGACTACAAAAACATGGCTCTATTGTAGACGTTCAGAAATGTCAATTTGTAACCGACTCAATAAACTTCCTAGGACACACTATAGATGCTCAAGGTATTCGACCTCTTAGGACCAAAGTGGCGGCCATTCTGGATTACCCAGAACCGACCACGATCAAGCAATTACGCACGCTTAACGGCCTGGTAAGTTTCTATAGACGCTTCATACCGAAATGCGCATTACTTATGAAACCTCTTACCGACCAACTTCGTGGAAATGCGAAATCCATTAATTTGGACGACATCGCACGAAAAGCATTCTCCACAATTTAGGAACTCATCGCTAAAGCAACAATGCTTGCACATCAGGACACCCGAGCACCCATCAGTATCGCAGTAGACGCATCCGACTCGGCAATCGGAGGAGTCTTACAACAATGGGTTAACAACTCCTAAGAACCATTGGCATTTTTCTCTAGACGGTTGCTAGACACCGAATCGAGGTACAGCACATTCGGTAGGGAACTCCTAGCTATGTATTGTGCTGTACGAAATTTTCAACACTACATCGAAGGTCGTCAATTCACTCTTTTCATTGACCATAAACCACTTATATTCTCTCTAAGCTCTACTTCAGAGAAGTACTCTCCCCGTGAGTCTCGACAACTGGACTACATTTCGCAGTTTACTTCAGACATTCAACACATCTCTGGAGCAAACAATGTAGTTGCAGACGCCTTATCTGGCATAACTTCCTTGAACAGTTTTCAAGGAATCAACCTTCTTAAACTCTCCCAGCTTCAAAAAGAAGACACTGATCTTCAGCACGAGTTATCGTCCACAACCCTTAAACTACGCATCAAACAGATGGGAACAGGTAAGGAAACCTTACTTTGTGACACATCTACAGGTAGAGATCGCCCAATCGTCCCGAAACATTATCGACGCAATGTCTTCAACACATTGCACAAACTTTCTCATCCAGGTGTTCGTGCAACCATCAAGCATATAGCAGAACGATTTTGCTGGCCTGGTATGAATGAAGACGTGAGGGAGTGGTCACGTTCCTGTGTAACCTGCCAAAAATCTAAGGTCATCAGACACAATAAATGTCCCTTAGGCTCATTTAAAACTTTCGATGCTCGTTTCGACCATGTTCGTCTGGATTTGGTAGGACCTTTACCAGATTCAAATGGATACTCTTATCTTTTAACCTGTGTAGATCGTTTCACTCGATGGCCAGAAGCAGTACCCATCAATGAGATCACTGCTGAAACAGTGACCCGAACCTTCGTCGAACGATGGGTAGCAAACTTCGGTTGCCCTTCAACCATCACTACAGACCGCGGACGTCAGTTTGAGTCTGAACTTTTCCGTCGTCTGACCACACTATTAGGAAGCACTCGCTTCCGAACGACCGCCTACCATCCACAAACAAACGGGTTGGTAGAACGTTTTCACCGACAAATAAAAGCTTCACTATCAGCTGCAAACATTTCACAGTGGACCGACGCTCTTTCACTCGTCTTACTAGGTATTCGCAATGCAGTGAAAGCTGACACTACAGCTCAACTCGTTTATGGAACGACACTTCGACTTCCAGGAGAATTCGTGGATCCTTGATCCTCTCCAATGAGCATGGATCTAACCTCCTACACGAACAGGCTTACAAACGCAATGCGTTCAGTTAAACGTGCTTCCAAACGACCACAATCCACGGATGTTTTCCTTCAACCTGACTTACGATATAGTACACACGTTTACGTACGTCGAGACTCGCATCGACGACCTTTCGAATCAGCATACGAATGACCTTTCAAAGTTCTTCAACGCGAACCGAAGTACTATATAATCGATAAGAACGGAACCAACGATAACATCAGCATCGATCACCTCAAAGCAGCGTATTTAGAAGGAAATCCTATCTACGTAGATTTTCCTTCGGTACAATTAAACGACACGACTCCGACAGTTATAATACCTCATCCGACAACCAACACACGCGATGATACTTCGACAGTATCCGAAAATAAACTTAAGATGACGCGTTCTGGAAGAAGAGTAAGATTTCCAGAACATTTAAACGATTATTGCACGTAAGGCACTACTTGACATTTTATATTATCTCGATTTTTTTACTCTGTTTAATATTTTATTTAAAAAAACAATTTTAATATGCTTATATATTTTTACTTCAAAAAACAACAACTTAAAAGTCATTTTTTAACGATATTACGTTCATATGCGTTTATTTTCTTTTTTTTCGCTAGCACTGTGTTTTTACGCGCGTACGAGTGTATTTCGACATGCACTTACATTTTATTTTTTCTTTTCCAGGACGGCTGGAAAAGAACGATGAAGTTTATGAGGACCTGAAATTTCCACTGTACTTTTTCTTTTTTTACTATGTTGTACCTCAGTCCCATATAGTAAGGAAAGACGACCAGACGCTGCTAAATTTAGTAAGCTATCAGAAGAGTGTTTACCAACGACAAACTCGTTGGGTTTAAACTTCTGGCTGGCCACGTCTTAGGGTCATCACTTCCCCACTAGGGGGGGGAGTGATCTGTAGCGGTAAATAAATTCCTAAAATAAATAGCTCTGTAGGTTTTCGACATTGGATGCTGACCATATGTTTTAGTGGACTCATCTAGCTGAAGGCGCTCGGTCATGCATCCGCACCAGATCACGTGTGGTAACGCTGTGCTCAACATCAACCGCAATCACTAGCCAGATTAGATCAGAGATTCCCGATATATTGGTTATCGCCAAATACACTCTTCCGATCTCCTCGACTCTGACTTTTGATTTCTCTCGGTGGAAACAAAGTATATTAGAAGGTGTTACTGGTAGAAGCGTTGTCAAACACTGAATACCTGTGCCATCTTCATACTCACCAAAGGATTACCATATCTCTTTTAAACCAGGAGTGTCTATGGATGTCTCGCAAATTAATATGTTCACCATCATTGCATGTCAGTAACTACTTCCTATCTTTCGCATCATTATCTCCGTTTTTGACCCTACTGATTGAGTAGCTTGTTAATTTGTTCTTGAGACAATCTTCTCCCAGCACTTAAATTGTCACTTTATTACACTAACATTCCAAACAAGCAACCTTTCAGGTAATACGATGATTTCTGGGATTCAGAATCCCCATTGATCTGCGACAAACTGTCTTACTCATAAAACAAGATATACAAATCCACAAATAACTAATAAAATGACCAGAATTAGTGCGGTGGAGTTGCTTGCTACCACTAATTGATTGTTAAAAATACATGAAACCCCAACGAAACAACAGGAAGCGAGTGCAAACAAATCATACGGTTTATACAAACTCGTGACAAAGGCATTGGATATAGAGCGCGTTTTCAGAAGACATCGCTACAAGTCGTTCATCATGCCTAGGATTAACATCAAAGGGGGTGTTTGGAGGAATACTGAGGTAAACTTTCGGATATTAAGTTACTTTTAAGGATGAAATTCTCAAAGCTGCTGTTATGAAATATGGCAAGAATCAGTGGGCACGGATAGCTTCCTTGCTACATCGCAAAGCCGCTAAGCAGTGTAAAGCTAGGTGGTACGAATGGCTTGATCCCAGTGTCAAGAAAACCGAGTGGAGCCGTGAAGAAGATGAAAAGTTACTACACCTTGCAAAGCTTATGCCAACTCAATGGCGAACAATTGCTCCGATAGTTGGAAGGACTGCAAATCAATGTTTGGAACGCTATGAATATCTTCTGTAACTCATTATTTTATTATTATTGTAAAATTAAGGGACAAAGCACAAAACAGAGAAGGGCTATCCGCAGAGGAGGATCCTAAACGCCTCCGTCCTGGCGAAATCGATCCAAATCCAGAGACTAAACCTGCCCGTCCAGATCCTGTTGATATGGATGAAGATGAATTAGAAATGCTTTCAGAAGCCAGAGCACGGTTAGCCAACACACAGGTCGGTTGCTTTCGATGCATTTATACTTCACTTTCGTAGAGTTATTTTTTTAATTCATAAAAATAAGAGGAATTCGTTTGATTGTCAGAGTTCTTTTTGCTTGTAATTTTTTCAGCTGAATTTCTCATATAATATACTACGCTCATCCACTTATTTTCGATCATTTAGTTATTTTTTGGTTATATTCTCTACCTGTTCACGGTTTCAACCACCTATGTGGTTCTTAATTTTTTAGTCCTCATTTGTACCAATATGTGTTCAAGTAAATAAAAGAAAACTAGGATTTATGTGAACTTCTACATTCGGCATGCTTGCAGAGTTCATCTTAGTTGAGTGTTGGACAATCGAGGTAGATCAGACTAAGTTATCCAAACTCAAGTCAGATAACGACTACTTTATTATCTTTCAGTATTTGCAAACAATGTATTTGCTGATTCTCTGAAAGTGATATTAGCCATGCGGTTTTACTTTCCAGCCTGCCATTTGACTTGTATTTATCTGTTTCTAATTGTTTCAGCACAAATCCATTAAGTCTATCCGAACATCCTCTTACTATGCTTGCCATCCTACCATCCATGTTAATCACTTCTAGTGATGGAACCTCTATACCTCTATACTTTCCTCGTGTTTGTATGCCAATAGACTAAAAGTTCGGGTTATTAGGGAGATTCTCATTATTTGAAAGTGCTCTCATGTTCAGTTCTGTAAAATCAATCGTTCTTGTGTATATTGGTTTCGATTATTCGTTTCCTTTAAAATCAAATTCATGTCTGAAAATCCCTTCACGTCTGTTTGTTTATACACTTTACATTTGAGACGTAAAAATTTATTTGTATGGCTCCTATCTAGCTCTTCGTTTACTTGTTCTTTGTGATCTTAGGGTAAAAAAGCAAAGCGTAAAGCTAGAGAACGTCAGCTTGAGATTGCACGAAGAATGGCTATGATGCAAAAACGTCGAGAACTTCGAGCAGCTGGTCTAGGAACATTCTTAGGGTTAGCACCTAAAACAAAGCCATGCATGGATTATAATTCCGAAATTCCATTTGAGAAGCAACCTCCTAAAGGGTTTTATGATACTAGCAGGGAAAAACCAGAAATCAAACCTATGGACTTTCAACGTTTAAGACTTTCAGATATCGAAAAAGAAAGTTTCATGGAAAGGGAAAAGGTAAGTCATCACTTTGTTTTCGTTTTTGGATTATATATTTCGAGACCTTACTCTGTTTTTAATACCCTTTTTTCATATCTCTATACCAAAATGTTATTTTCGGGTAATTTATATCAAATTCACATTCCTAATACGGCTGTTTCGTGCTTGTGTGTTGGGGGCTTTACAAAGTTTATTGCTCAAGGTCAATTGGATTGTTTCTTAAGTGTTCTATCTATCATTCCAGCCCCCTGGTTTTAGATTAGGTTACTGACTTGTCTCTAACTGCCAAGTCCTTATAATTGACTACCTACTACTTGTTAACTAGTCGTTCCCGCTCCCCCCTTTTGGATATCTCGTCTATGATTTTTCATTACGATTGTGTTAACATTTTGCTAGTCTACAATAAGGCTGTTCCTTCTATTTTTTGTTATTTTGCGGCTAAAAAAGTTCCCAACTACTTATTAACTCAAAAGAGGTTATGGAAATCCACTAGAATTTCCCAGTTTATTTTAGTGTTAACAAGTAGGAATTCGGTTTCTGAAGATTTCTTCGTAATTCAAGATAGGTATTTTATTATATACAGTACTAAAATGTATTACGTTAGCCAGAAGGGTAGGCACAACCCCATCAGGAATGATTTTAAATGACATCAAATAAAACGGCTAACCATTTGTATAATTCCTCGAGATTCGATTGTTTTATTTACCTAGGGCCCAATTAATTGTCGTTAACTTGGTACGTTGGTAGGGGAAATTTAATTCTTAATTTGAATAAGTGGCTGTCAATTTGTTTTAGCATATAATGTAACTGTCGATTCATTCAGTCAGCTACAACGTAGAACCAAGCACATATATGCATCAGTCCAAGTTGCCATACCGCATTAGCACAGCAAGATGAACACCGGATTCATAGAAGTAGTTAATTAAATGGTGGTAATATCTAAAAGAAAGATTGCATATAAGGATATAGTACATAAAGAAAGAGTTAGTTCATAGAAAGGAAGATATGAAGCGATTTTAAACTCTTAGTTTAAGGGAAGATAGAGAGTGTATACACCGACGCCATTGTGATCGATTATGAGCCATGTCACCAAGAGTCTCCAACTATTGGTTACGATAGCCACACGGACCCCAACCAAGTAGTCTGCATCTACCAATGTAGCTCAGACTAGAAGTTAGTGTCTTCAAGCACTTATGCCACGTTTTGGTTTGGCCGCCCCTAACTTTCTTCCAACCATCTCCAACACCGGTTAGCATTGCACGTCGTGGTAATCGGTGGTTGGGCATACGTAACACGTGGCCCGACCATCTCAGTCGATGAAGATTCACGACCTCATCAACTGACTTACCATCATTCCCTAATATCATGAGTCTAACCTCACTAATACTTACCCGGTGATCCCAGCAGACGCCAGCAATATTTCTAAGGCATCTGTGGTCAAATACTAGTAGCTTACGGGTGTCTTCTACTCTTAAAGGCCAAGTTTCGCTGCCGTAAAGTAAGACAGAACGGACTGCCGCGCAGTATACTCGTCCTTTTATTGATAGACGGATATCTCGCCTTCGCCATAGGTGACGTAAGTTGACAAAAGCCAAACGAGCTTTTCGAATCCGTGCAGAGATTTCGTCAGACACTAACCCATTAGGGCTGATCAGACTTCCAAGATAAGTGAAGTTGTCAACGCAGACCAGTCCTGAAGCAACAACTTGCATTTAGAAGGAGAGAAGCGCATTCCAAACATTCTGGCATTGTTGCTTAGTGCTACCAGAAGACTGCATTTTATCAGCGTCTTCACCAAACAGGGCTATATCATCTGCGTATTCTAAATCGATAAGTGGACCTCCTGGAATGAGATCAATACCCGAAAATTCAGTCGACGAGAATGTTATTTCCATCAATAGGTCTATGATGAAGTTAAACAAGAATGGAGAAATTGGACAGCCTTGAGGGACACCACTTGAGGTTGCAAAAGCAGATGACAGTTCGCCATAAGCTCTGACTCGACTAATAGTGTTCTAGTAAAGAGGCTTCACGAGGTTTATGTACGTCTGAGGTATGCCTTTCAATGACAGATACTGCCACAGAACCTCTCGGTTTACATAGTCAAATGCTGCTTTTAAGTCAAGAAAAACCATCATTGTCGGACGCCGATAAGTATGTCTGTGTTCTAAAACCTGGTGAATATGTGGTCGATGCATCCACAATCAGGTCTGAAGCCAGCTTGATTCTCTCGTGTTTGCAGTTCACGAGTCTTAGTTAGGCGTCCGATAATTATTGATGCTAGTATTTTAGATGCTATGTTAGTCAAACTAATCCCTCTATGGTTGTCACAGGATGATATTAACCCTCTCTTATATATTGGGACGATCAGAGATTGTGACCAGTCAGATGGGATAACGTCAAACTCCCAGATTTTAGCTAAAATATTAGTCAAGCTAATCGCTAAAATTGGACCATCATTCTTAAAGACCTCTGTCTATTCGAGTATTACAGTTTAATCTATCCATTTCAGTATATAAAACTAACCATAAATCCGTCAAATCTCACAATCTATGCTGTACTAGTAAACTGCTACTTTTAAATCAAAAACAAAAAGCTCACATTTGAGTAATTTTGGTACTTTTCAGCGTGAACGTAAAAAGGATGCTGAACGCCAGGCTAAACGTATGCAATCTGATTTACCTGGAGTTATTTTGCAACGTGGGAATTCTTTGGATGAGCCAATGTTGAAACGATCTAAACTTGTACTTCCTGCTCCTCAAGTATCTGACCTGGAATTGGAAAATTTAATCAAAGTATGTTTCAAATGGTTTTGTAATTATCAACTTATAACAAGTGCATACTGTGGTAATGAAACAATAACATTGGACTTATAATACTAAAAACCAGGATAAATTTAAATTAAAAGGATAAAACTGGAGCATTGTATTCACGTTTATCATGAACTACGAAACAATGGGCATTTACGCAAGATTTTGACTAATTTTACATTAATCTACTTTTCTTGTCTTACAGGTGCTTAAAACTTTTTCGGCCTTTTGAGTTTAGTACTGATTTGCAGTTCATATTTTTCCTACAATTTTGTTTTTATCTACTAAGTTATCAAAAGGTCGACCACTCATAGTCATATTTTTCGTTAAATAGTTTAAAGTTGAATATTAATAAGCCAGTTTATCAACTTTTGTTTTACATAATTTGATCATTTTACTTGTCACTAATTAAGGTTTACGTCGTATAAAATAATTTAAAAGTGACTGCCATGATTTACTTTTTCAATCTGTGTTTACCGCCCAAATTTTTATTTTTGTTTCAAGTGGTAATTTTTTTCTATAAATACCTGTCGAAGTATCCTAATAGAAAATCTAGTAGAATAAAATAAATACATCAGTATCCTTAAATACCACTTTCCTCTGACAACTTGCTTAGGCCTTAATCTATTTAATTTGTTTTGCCCGTTTTTTCTGTTCTAAGTTTATGGATATAGTTAAGGCAAACAAACCTCGATTACTGGGTTACTAGTTCGAGATTATTTTGGTGTTGTCGACGGGTTGCGTGGTGTTAGCATCATTAGCATTGACATACAGAAAGTAACTCGAAGCCATATATTTATATATTCTGTACTTTGTCTACTTGAATTTTGTTTGTGTTTGGTGTTCCAACACTTAGATCTCTTATTAATTGAATAGGTTACGCAATTTTTAGGATTGTACTTAACTAGATAATATAATCTTAGTATTAGAAAAGATTAATTCGCTATCAGTATATCACATAGAATAATCACCCACAATGATGTCGAATTAACTAAAGTGGATACTATTTTGCAAACTCAAATGATTAAAAATATGGTTTCTTATTTTTAATATTATTTATCGAATTTTCATTTTTATCGTTTTATTATGATCGGGGAAAAGGAAAATTAGAAACAATCTGTCTACAACATAATACTAAATCAATTAGAGTTTGATTGGAAACTACATTTTTCTTCCCTTGTTCGAATGTACCATACCTATAGCCACTGGTACAAATTGAGACTTCCCTGCAACTTAATCTGAATGAATTTTGGATTTTTAAAATGAAAGGAAACAACACTGATAGACAAAATGCAATGTTACGATGCTGCCGAGTGGTGGCTGCGCACAAAACTAACTTACTTTTGTAAACCCCTAATGAACTAATATCAGAAAGATACTTACCCAGTAGATGAGATTTTTCTCCAAACAAAATGACATTATATATATAATACATAAAATAATGATAAACATAATTAGAAATCACTCAACAAGTAAACTTTTTGCTGACACACCAACTGTAGATCATCCACTCTCCCATGGGATTAATGCTTAATTATTACCCTATTGTCTGACATCTTTTTTGTTTTAATATGATTATTATTACTCGTTTATTTAAATCGTCCTACAAAAAACTATTAGGTTGGTCAAGCCGGTGAAAATGCTGTAAGAATGGCTATTGAAGATGCTGATGGTGAATTGGGCTCTGCAACACATCCTCTTTTACCGGAATATCCTACCGGTAGTTTTGCAACACCTGCGTTAAATCTTCAACGCACTCCAATGGCTGTGATAGATTCTGTGACTAGAGTAAGTTTTTCTTCCGATTTTTGTATATTTAACACACTTAAGTTCTGGCATAGTTTGGAACTAACAAACGTATGCACCACACAAATAAGATAACGTCGAGAAAAATATAAGGGATCGAATCGGGTACGGACGCTATAAGAGGTCATTTTAAATTGCATACGTGGTTTCCGAAAGTTTGATTCATAATTCGTGTTTGGTTGTTACATTTAACATCCGACCAGTTAGTAACTTGAGATAATGAGTTGGATCCCCCCTCACCAGCTAATATTTTCAATCATTTGATATAATTTTGTCGGTCGCTCATATAAGTAACTCATTCTACTTCACTTAGTCATCTCGGTCATACGCAACGTAGAACTTGAAACGGATGTGCATCAATTCAAGTTACTACATAAATTTAACACAGTGAAATGAAATTATCAAGTCAAAATATTAACAGTATCCATAGTAGTAGAAACTAATCAGTGTAGAGAAAACGGGTGTTAGGAAATCTTGGAAATGAAGATATTAGGGGAGATAAACGGTAAAAACCTCTGCATCATTGTGATCAATTCTGAACCATGTCATCCAACATCTCCAACTACTGGCTACGATAATTGCTAATCAGAAGTTGTTCACAGTACTCTTTTCTTTAGAATAACAAAATTGTCATCATATTAACACATTTTTTTCATGTTCATATTGGCCATTTTTGAAGTATTACGTTTATACTAGGAATCGTTATCTAAATTAATTTGGGTTTATTTAAAAAAAAAATATTAAAACTCAAGAAACAGAGCATATATGTAAACGAAGCAAAAACTTAAGTGTTTGCAGAATATATATGGTAAATATCAAGTAGATCAAAAGCTTGTGTAATTCACTTTTTTTTCCGATTAAGTACTGATGTGGTAACTTGAACCAATTCACATAAGTGACAGGTTGTTGATGTCTGACTGACTAAATTTTGATCAACAGAGTGCAGAGTTAATTTAAAATAATAAAGCGACTATGTGAATTGTCTTCTTTTTTTTCTGTATGTTGTAGCCTAAATCAACTTATCACTTCATAGTTTTATTTTGGTGAATCTTATTCATAAAATAATATGTATTCCCATAATATTTTTCCCATTTAATTGTTCGTCAAATTTTCTATTTGTTAATATCATTATTAATAAAACTTTTGGTTATCAGGAAGCACAAAATATTTTAGCTTTGCAACAAGTTCAAACTCCTCTTAAAGGTGGTGAAAATACTCCATTAGTTGGTGAATCTGATTTTTCTGGTACAACGCCTCGTTTACCAAATACTCTAGCAACTCCGAATGTTTTACTTCCTAGTCAAATAGTTGGTGCTACTCCATTTCGTACACCGAACAGCAACATTGAAAATGGTATGTTGTGTTTTCTTTTGTCTTTTTTCCTCAAAATTTCACTCTTATTTATGTTTATTATTTTCTCAATTGTAAAGAAAGTAAAATTCTATCTCATTCTGTCTAATTATTATTTTATTTCAAAAAGCCCACTTCTTAACAATTTACTTAATGAGCTTCATTTTTAAAAAATATTTATATACAAAGTTAATAGAAAAACTATGGTTTATAAAAACGATACTTGAAGGATTGTTGTGAACTTGATTAATCAATGATGAGTTTTTTGGACATATCTTATTTCGTTTATTTTTCTCATGTTCATATCTATTTTATGTATAAACTGAACAAGCAGATCTACCGGTTTTTTATTGTATACACTCGAAAATAATTGAATTGACTTTAACTAGTTTAATTTTCTTTATGTTAGTTATTAAAGACAGAAATGTTGAAATTTTGGAAGTAATCTTATTGTAGTGTGCCAAAGATCCCACATGCTATTGTTTCATTTCAAACTAGTGCATATATTAATCTCTGCTAACATAATTGATATTTCATATTATTAATTAAATGCCCCAGTACGGCCAAAGGTGAGGAGAGTCTGCTTTCCATCTCGAAATGCTCTCAGATAGCCACGCGTATACGACCACTGCCTTTTCGTGGCGAGGGTGTTGTTTACGAGATTGAGAGGATGAAAAGCGGACGTCCGGCGCTTTAACTGGTTTGGTGGATACAGAGGGTTCGCCTAAGGGAGTTGGAAAACACTGATTCTAAACCACTGGTGCAAATGGGCTCCAGTATCTTGAGAGAAAAAGGCTTATAAACCTATTGTTAATCGCGGGCTACCATGGTACTGCATCTCGTAACGTTGCCTTGTGGATTAGACCTCTAGGTCAAAGGCCCAGGAAGTGGCTCCCTAGGAAAACCATCTACTTCGGTTTGGGCACCCGGTCAGCATCTCAGCCCTCACACAAATCGAATGATTTGTGTGGTACATATATAATTGGTGCCCCCTTGTACCAGTGTTTATTCGTTTGAATAATAATGAACATTGGGTCTAGTCATTCAGCTTTTGGGTGTTAAATTAAAAATTTGCTTTAGTCGGTTAGTATCATTAAATTTTGTACACTTTAAACATAGCTCTCAGCTAAATACTCAACTGAATTAACTCAATTATCAAGCATAGATTCGTGTACTTGCCTTCAAGCAAGGTTGAAATTATTACTGTTCTACTGAAACGTAACTAGGTAGAGGGAATTTCGAACCTGTGACTTTATAACTGAAATTCGATCGCCTTAACTATCGAGTTACCACTTCTGAATAATATTAATTTTTCATGGGTATATGCGTTAAGATCCTCATTATATGTAAGAAAAGTAGCTTGTTATTTCTCCGAACCATACTTGTTTCCCTGTTTTTTATGGTCAATATTATGACATGATCTTAACAGATTGATCTTATTATTTAAAGTTTTTCACATGTGAATGATTCTGCTGCGCAAATAATTTATTCTGTCCGCAATAGAATTGATTGTCAATTTTCATTCAAGCTGTATACTTGTTTTATTGTCGTAACTTCTTATTGAACTATGTTTAATTGTGTTGTTTCCTAAGTTTATACTACACTATACAGAGAATATACAAATTGATCTAACAAGATTTTAAGTGAAATTTAGAGAGAATGTATAAACGGCTCATGAAATGTTAAAGTTTGTCTACAGTTATAAATCATGGTGGAAAATAGTTCTTTTCAAATGGATGAGATGTTTCAGTTAAATACGTGTGATAACGGAAATGATGATCCAAGACTAAGATGATTAACATCCTCTTGTATTAATGAAAATATTAAACATTTACTATTTGTTATGCTTTTTTTAACCTTCCATTCACTGTTTCAATGATTGCTAATAAAACTAACTTCGGAAAGTTGTCTGTGTATATGATCTTGAAGTTACTGGCAATGTTAAATAGTCTGATTTTTGATGACTTTCAGAAATCCTGTTAATCATTACAATTAAGGTGGGATAAATGTATTCCTCGTAGTATAAGTTGATGAATGAGTGTATAGTGTGTAAAAACTTTTTACAACTGCTTAGAAGGTTAGTGCAGATGTGTATTATGCTGAATAGCCAAATTTTATTTAACATGATAAATTGTACATCATGCATTCTTGTACTAAAAACTAACAACACCAGTTGATAATTATCTAGGATTGTAATTTGAATGTACAAACCTTTTAATATTTTATTAATAAATAAAGTTTCAGTTTTGTGGTGGTAAAGTGAATTGCCTTGATTGATGCACCCGAAAATTTTATTCTCATCTCATTACATAGTGACAAGATAAATCACTCATATAGTTATACAATAAATGTCTCCATTCGATACTGATGATCAGTTTGTATATATATGAAGATCAAAATAGAATTTCGTTTCACTTAGGTGAAGTTTTGTTCTCTGGGCTTGATGGTTAGGTCTACCTGAAGTTTATGTTGATAATGTTGTTCAGAAGAATAATGAAAGCTCCACAACCAAACCATCCAGCTCAGATAACAAAATTCCACCTTAATCATATACCTGAGCTACAAATCTTCACCATCTCAAATCTCGTCTTATGTTTAATTGGAACACTGACAAAGTCTAAAATCATTTGAGATTCAACAAATATGTACGAATATATGAAATACCGCTTGTTTTAAATGGTTAGCATTCATGTTTAATAAATAATCCTTGTAGTATTTAACTGCATTAAACACACCTCACTTTAAGAAAATCGGATTTATTTTTATAATTTATTTTAACACAGATATTGGTACAAGGAGGCACCAAATACATATGCACCACACAAATCTCATTCGATATGTGTGAGGGCTGTGATACTGCCCGGGTGCCCGAACCGAAACAGTTAGTTTTCTTAGGGGGCCACTCCCCAAGCCTTCGACTTGAAGGCAGTGGAGCATAGTAAGGAGATGCAGTCCCATGGGAGCCGGTGACCAACAGTTGGTTCATACGCCATTTGTTCCCGCAGGATACTGGAGCCCATGTGCACCATTGATTTGGAATCCGGTTAAAGCGCCGGACATTCACTTTTCGTCCTCTCAATTTCGTGAACAACACTCGTGATGTGAGAAGGTAGTGAGTAGGACTTCCCTGGCATAGGCTATTTACGCGTGGCCATGTGAGAGCATTTGGAGAGGGAGAGTGAACTCTGCCCATTCTTGGCCGTACCAGGGCATTTGGGGGCAATAAAATCGGAACGTATGATTATTTTAATATAATTAATAAGGTATTTAAATATCTACTGAATCTTTTGTATTCTACTCAATAATGTTCTATATTTTTGATTCCTGGTTATAATATAGACTGAATCAATTGAATTTTCAAGTATCATAAGTTTTCAATTATAGATATATTATCATAGGATCACTGATTGAACATTCAGTTTTATGAAAGAAAGATAAGTTAGTTGACATAATTATGAATTGAATGTGAATTAATCTGTCTGGGATATTTAGTTGAGTCACATGGTCTCTCTTTTCGTAAATGTGTATAATGCTGATGATTGTATGAACTGTTTGGAAAAAGAAAACGACGAGATTATAATTTATAGACGAACCGATCAGATATAAGATAACAGGTCTTAGATTTTGGCTCGGAATTCATCCACTTACATTTGGCTAAATGGAGTTTTGGCATTATAGCTGATGCCAGTTCGTGATGAAAACCCTAAATCTAATTCTTAACCTTAACCCCATCAACTGTAAATCATACTTCTAATTCTACACACAGGTTTATAACCCTTATTTGGTTCTAGTTACTAGGTGGATACTCTAAAAGTTAGTCTATCGTCGCTCAAAGGTCGTCCATAAATTATAGTCTCACCAAAATAACTAAAGATAGATAAATTTATACGTTTTGAGTAGTATAGAAAACTTGTGGCTTTCTGAATTTAGTTCTCAATGTGGTGTTAATCAATAATTGTAGAGCCTAGTTGATAGAACTCTAAAAACATTTCCTACTAGGACATTTGTATTCACTTAATATTTCTTTATGTCATGTTCATCTCCTCGTTCTATACTTGTTAGTAGTTGTATTTCCCTCTCTATTGGAGTCCCACTTTTTTCATACCTGAATTTCCATTTTATTCTGTCATAAAAAATATTTTAGGCACTCCAAATCTTCTCATGGGTGGTGATGCTAATAATACACCTGGTCCATTAAGGAAAGGTGATCAACATTATGGTCCCCCGGTGTCAAATACACCACTAAGAAATCGTTTGAATATAAATCCAATCGATGGAAATAATTTAGATGGTCTTAATAATATTAGTAACAATAATCATTCCGAAGGTATGGTAGACTATTATGACCAAAATGGTGTGAAAACAAATCTACGCAAAAGTTTAGCTAATCTACCAACACCGAAGAATAATTTCGAAATATTCCTCCCTGATGAAACTAAACCTAACGGTGATGATGCTGATGATAATGACGAAGGTGTTAACGTAGATATGGATCAATTGGAAGAGGAGAGGGGAACTGCTTCAAGAATTCCAGATCAGTCAGATTTAGATAGACAATCTGAAAGAGAACGTGCTAAAGCCGCTGAATTGGAATGGTCTAAACGAAGTCAAGTTGTTAGACGATCTTTACCTAGACCATCAGCTGTGAACCATACGATTTTGCGTAATATTCCAGGTTCAGTTAACCAACTGTCTCAACAAGATGCGAATATGACAGATTTACAAAAGGTATTGTTAAAATGGTTTTCTTTTGCATACACTATAAAATCGTTAAAGTACATCTAGATATTAACCAACCCTATAATCAATATGTTAGTACTATTTATCGAGTTTATTGTTTTAGGTATAGGTTTTCTCATTGGTTTTTGAGCTTCTGTCTGACTCACCTCAAACTTTCAAGAAATCTATACTTGATAACCTCTTCAGTGGGCTAAGTCATTCTTTGTTAATGAATATAATAAAGCTTGAATTCTAGCTGCGTCAATTGTATTATAATTTTACGGTTAACATTATGGGATGAGCATCCATAATCCCACTGGGGATCAAGCCCAAGACCTTCAGGTCTCGCGACAAGTCCTTAATCGTCAAACCACTCATTCAGTATCCATCTGTCTGTATTTCCAACTTCAGTCAATCAGTTTTATTTCGCAACAATATTCCAGTACCATTTGTGGGTAACTGGCTCATTGCTAACATGTTTGAACGAGAATGGTCACAACTTCTCACTCGAACCCCAGGAATTACGTCGATAAACTAGTTACCAGTAAACATATGATTAATAATAACATATTATTATTATTTTGCCTAAGGAATCTACTAAATTGCTTTGTTAATATACATCAATCAACCATCGTCCGCAGAGCACTGACAATTATATATCATGGTGGTATTAGTAGTTTTTGTAAATAACACTACATGTAGATTTATTGGATTCATTGTAAAATTCTTACATGTAGACTGTAATCGTTATAGATTGATTTGAGTTGGAGTAAGATTAGACACCAAGTTTACTTCCAATTGCGTCCATACTATTGGCTTCCGTCATACTTCGCAGGTTGTTCAAAACCCGAGAAAGATTGACTCGCGAGGAGCAGGCTGGGTTTCATTCTGGTCGAGGATGTACTGATCATATCTTCACCCTCCGCCAAATGTTCGAACACCGCCATACTTATCAAAGGAAAACAATCGTAGTGTTTCTTGACATTAGGGCTGCCTTCGATTCGTTGGACAGGACTGTTCTCTGGGATTGTCTATTGAAGAAGGGTGTGCCTGAGAAGTTTATTAACATCCTAAAAGCCCTATATAAAAACACCTCAGGCAGAGTGAGGGCATACAACCACCTCTCTCCATTGTTCCATTCGAGTAGTGGGGTTAGGCAGGGTTGCCCAATCTCACCATTCCTCTTCAACTTTGCCATCGATGACATTCTGGAAACAGCTCTGATGAATGTAAGTAATGGTGGTGTGGATCTGTTACCTGGAGAAAGACTTCTCGACCTTGAGTATGCGGACGATATTGTCTTACTGTGCGATAATGCCCAAGGCATGCAATCCGCACTTAATCAGTTGGCAATCAGTGTCCGTAGGTATGGTATGTGTTTTGCACCTTCGAAGTGCAAAGTACTTCTACAAGACTGGCAGGATTCCAATCCTGTACTCACCCTGGATGGTGAGCAGATAGAAGTAGTCGAGAAGTTCGTGTATCTGGGTAGTTGCATAAGTGCTGGTGGGGGTGTGAGTGATGAGATCAATGCACGTATAGTGAAAGCCAGAGTGGCTTATGCCAATCTGGGCCATCTTTGGCGTCTTCGTGATGTTAGTCTGGCTGTAAAAGGTCGGATCTACAACGCGTCGGTGAGAGCAGTTTTGCTCTATGCTTGTGAAACCTGGCCTCTCCGAGTTGAGGACGTTAGACGACTCTCTGTGTTCGATCATCGCTGTCTCCGAAGGATTGCTGATATTCAGTGGCAACACCATGTCAGTAATGCAAAGGTTCGGCATCATGTGTTTGGGCACAGAGATGATAATTCAATTGGTGTCACCATCTTGAAACACCGACTTCGGTGACTTGGACACGTTCTACGAATGTCGTCCCAGAGAATTCCACGTCGTGCATTATTTGCCGACTCTGGGACTGGTTGGAAAAAGCGGAGAGGTGGTCAGTATATGACATGGTGTCGTGGGATGAACGAAAGCTGCAAAGGACTGGCTTCTGTTTGTCCTTCACGACTCTCTTGCTGGGGTCTGAGAGATGGTGCGACACAGTGGCTAGAGACGTTATCAGATATGGCTCAGAATAGAAGCCAGTGGCGATCCTGCTGTAACCTTCTTCTACTTCATAAAAAGATGGTTGTATCTTCCTTAACTGAAAGATTTCTTCTGATTGTACCTTTCCGTTCCCCCATAATTACCACTATTATTATTACACTACCTTACACCAATCTCTTATTGTTATTTTTTCTTTTTTTTTAACCCTCCTTACATTTTTTCTTTTTCCTTCTCTTCAAATTCTCATTGTTTTGTGTGGCGCATATATATTTGGGACAGTCTTGTATGAATATGTATGTGTTCAAATAAATAAAAACTGTACAGCAGCTTAAACCGATGTATCTGTATCTGATCCTATACTATTTATTAATAACTGACTGTGCTTTCCATTCTTTTTAGTAAAATGTTTTTTTCACTCTTATTAGGCTGAAGAGTTGATTAAACAAGAAATGGTAACAATGATGCATTATGATAATTTAAACAACCCACCACCAAATCAATTGTTGGATGCAGCTAAGCAAACTACTGGTCCAAGTGGTGGCAGTGGTGTTGCTCCAGCTAGTCAACAGCGACGTTATTTACAACAGGTCAAAGCTACACATGAAAGCTTTTTGAAAGATTGTCCATATGAACAGTTTGTTCCGGATGATTTGAAAATGGTACGTTGTTTATGTCTGTGTGTATGTGGCATTTTAAAATGTTTTTTTTTGTAATTAACGTGATAATTTTGTTTTGCTGTCTTATGAACTCTTTTTTAAATCATATTTTGATGTCGAGTGCTGCTAGAAGTATGTAGATAGTTGTTACATCTTGGCTGCCCACATTGAGGGAGGATACTCGTTTAGATACGTGAAAAGAATACTGGATTAATGATGATTTTGTGGAATAGGAAGCGTAACCACATAGCGTAAGGGACAATTACTTAAGGCCTGAAAAGTATGGCCCTTGTGTGAGTTTTCGGCTTGTTAGCTTTGTACTTTGAAGGCTTCTCGTCAAAAACACGAACATGCGGGGAAACGTTAGATGTTCCATATTCAGGTGCTATCTTTTCAATTCTCTTTTGTCTTTGTAGGTAGACGCCATTGCTTCAGATGCTAGTTGTATGATGAAAATAATTTACTACCATCATTCCGCAGTATAACTTCATTCTCAAATCTTGAGTCTGTTACTTCTAGTCTTACTGTCCGTCAACTAATCTACCTGGCATGGTAGGACCTATAGGAACAAGTATTTTTTTTGGCAAATATGACTGGATTAGGTTGTCAGGAAAACAGAATCCCAACCACTCCGTCCAGGTATCAGCCACGGTTAGATTATTGATGATAAATACGTGGGTGAAATGTCAAAAATTGGTTACATATTCCGCGATACTTGCTGCTTTAATAAATGTTAAGACAAAATGTTTTTAAGTTCATTTGCCTCCCAAATTGATTCACGTTAGAAAACAATAGAAAACAAGAGTATTGAACGTCTGTTTCATTGTAGTATATGAGACTCCCTAATTATGAGTATTCAATACTCCTTAACTAAGGGTTAGATTAATGACCTTCAAGTGTCACCTTATATCTTTGTAGTTTTAGATGGTCGTTTCACGATTTTGACTAGAAACTGGAAAAAATTCCATACCAAATGATGTTCCTATTACATTTCTGCTTTTTATTCCATACTACTGATTGATTTTGTAAGTAGCTTATAATATTGTAGTAATATTTCAAACCAATTACAGGCGGAAAATTTATTGGAAGAGGAAATGCATGTCGTTCGAAATGGTATGGGACATGGTGAATTATCGGCTGAAGCATATGCTAAAGTTTGGCATGAGTGTTTAAGCCAAGTTTTATATTTGCCAGCACATAGACGTTATACACGAGCTAACTTAGTAACAAAACGTGATCGAATTGAATCACACGAGAAACGATTGGATCAACTTCGTCATCTTATGGCTGAAGAAGCTAAACGAGCAGCAAAACTGGAGAAGAAACTCAGGATATTGTTAGGTGGATATCAGGTAATCTGTAATTTACAATCTCTTTAAATTACTTTGAACCTAGTAAATTTGTTGATCAAATTGTTTCAAACTCTCCGTCATTTGTACATATGTGTGCAAAAAATGAGTATACATTTTATCAAGGCTTTATTAGATTTCTGAAGGTATTCACCCGCGGAAAATAAGTTCGGAGATCTATCGTTTTGTCATATCTATGGAATGATTTGATGAAATGTAGTTGCCCAACCTTACACACTGTCTCTTGTTGTTAGTATACTTGTGAATATAGTATGCAGTGTGTTTGGCTTATGAATATGTACGTAAAGAAAGCATTTGCAACCACTAATGCCTACAAAGAAATCATTTGGCAAACAATACGTAACTTATGTTTGCTTCATAATAGATGTAAGCATAACTTTATTTTTAGATTGTGTTCATCACAGGTTGATCTCAGTTAAAGTTCTATTGAAAACTGGAAAACACGGGACTCTGTAGTAGTTTGCATCCGCAATCCTATCAGGGATCAAATCCAAAACCTTTATGTCTCACAGAAAACTGTTGACCACAAAGTCACTGGTTTGGGGCTCACTGATCTGATACACTTACAACTTCAACCAATTTACGATAAAGGACAACGACTATTCAGTGTTATCAGTAATAATTGTTTCACTTTAAACACGTTTGAACTCTACCAGTCACAACCTTATTTACTGTATATTTTCCAGTTAACGGTAGGTGGCTCTCCAGTTCCGTTTTATAAACTGAAGACTTAATAATCCTTTTTTATTTCATATCCTATTCAATAAAATAACTAACATTTCTCTTACTATCGATCTTTAGTCACGTGCGCAAACCTTAATGAAAGCCATTGAAGAAAGTGTCGATCAAATTGAACAAAGTCAAATGGAATTAACCACATATGAACGACTTCACGAGCAAGAATTATGCGCTATCGCTAGACGTTCTGATGTAAGTAGCATGTTTTTGTTTTTCTAGTCAGGAAACAACTGAAATTATGAAAAGTTCTTATTCCTATATCAATTACTTTCAAAATATATTTATTTAATTTTTCAGGTTTTAGAAGCTGATGTTGAACGTCAACAAAAACGAAATGCTGATCTTCAACGAGAGTACGGTAGATTAATTCGTATTCGTGAAGAACGTGAAGCAGACGCTTTCTTAGCTAGTAATATGGATTTGATTAGTAATGGTGGTGGTGGTGGTGGTAAAGACGATGGTGATACATCAATATCGGTCACCGCTAGTGGTGACATTACATCTATTTCAACGGATATACATAATCAATCTAATACTGAATCATCACAAGCACAAAAACAAACAATGGTATATGGAAATAAGAATACAGTATCAGGCAAGTGGATTGCTGTGACACAGATTGAAAATATAGAAGATCCTGATCAACCGATGTTATCCAATGGAGAGATTCCTACACAGTCTCTGTAAGTCTATAAGTTTTTTTCTTCGGTACTACTTTAAACGTATTAGTAGCTGTTTTCTTTTTAAATGTACTGTAGTATGTATGGATAATTTATTATCACGTTTACTATTACAATTTTCATTCGATTAAGTTAAGATTATGAAATTAATTGGATCTCTTGACAACTCGATAACAATATTTTCTTGTAATTTTTTTCATGATGAGTGAATTGAAGTCTCCGTTGAATAATGTAATCAAAGAAACACCACAATTGAATAGAAATATGATACAATAGTTGGAAAACATGTCATATATATTTCTTTATTCAAAGTTAGTGAATTAGACAGTCATAAGCGATTTAGAACCTGGGACACGTATACATTGGTTCAAGCTTTCATATTGCATTAGCATGTTCTCAGACAATCGTTTAGTTTTAGCAAACACAAATTTTAAGCATAAGGAGAGACATCGTCTAACATGGTGACCTTCTACACCAAACCAACGATGGACTCAAATAGACCATATTGCCATCAGTCATCGTTGGAGAGGGTCGGTAAAAGATTGTCGCTCATTCTGGAGTACCTGGTTGGACTCCGACCACGCCCTAATACGGGCACGCATCTGCTTGCGCCTCACTGGACGCAAAAAAGCCACAGTAAAAAGACCCGTTAGAATTGAATTGAGTAGCGAGAAAACCAAAATTAGGTTCCAGGAACAACTGAGGTAGTTCTGAAGACGAGGCTGACCCAGATGTTGCTTGGAAAGCTATACAAACAGCTGTGGAAACAGCAGTGACATCTATCAGTGATTTAAACCACAGGGTTGCAAAGAACCAATGGATTTCCTCAAGGTCTATTACACTGATGGATTCTCGCAAACTCGTCCCATCGGGCTCTGAACACGATGAAGATCGAAAACAAATCAGATCTAAGTTAAGCCAAAGTCTAAGGAACGACCATGAGCAGTGGTGGGTAACGAATGCAAAAGAGATAGAAAAGGCGGCGGCTATAGGGAACACAAGACAGCTCTACAGACTAAAAAAAGATACTGGAATTAATAAGTCAAGTGTAAGTGAGATTATTTCGGGAAAAGACGATACTCTCATCTGCTCTCAGTTCGGACGTTTAGAACGATGGGTGGAACATTTCAGAGAACAGTTCAGCTAGCCTTCAGCTACTCTACAACTACTCTCCATTCCCAGACAGTATGAATGGAACATTGAAGTAGGTCCCCCAACTCTAGCAGAAGTTCAAAAGGCATGACATTGATCACCACCCAGTGATCAATCAATTGTGATTACATCTCAGTCCTACAGGAGATTCGTCACGGCTCGGATAGCTCAGTGGTAACGTCTGTGACTGTGAAGCTGGCTGACACGAGATCGAATGCGTCAGGGAGCACCAGTTCCCTCAAGATTACAGGTACACCTTGCTGACGAGTGCCAAGTAGCACGAAACCCGGGTCCACGGTTTCCTGTTGACTACCTCCAACCACCATCTAAATATTAATACATAGTGCCCGCAGTGTCGAGTCACCTAGACTGGTGGCCACATTGCAACATGATCGATAGCATTGGATCTGCACTAATAAGGACTAGACAAGCATGACATTGATCACCACCCAGTGATCAATCAATTGTGATTCAAAAGGCTATAGTTAATCTGAAACGAGGAAGAGCAGCTAGTCCAGATGGATTGGCTCCAGAGGTCTTTAAGGATGGTGGTCCAATTTTAGCGATTAGCTTGACTAATATTTTAGCTAAAATCTGGGATTTTGACGTTATCCCATCTGACTGGTCACAATCTCTGATCGTCCCAATATATAAGAGAGGGTTAAAATCATCCTGTGGCAACCATAGAGGGATTAGTTTGACTAACATAGCATCTAAAATACAAGCATCAATAATTATCGGACGCCTAACTAAGACTCGTGAACTGCAAACACGAGAGAATCAAGCTGGCTTCAGACCTGATTGTGGATGCATCGACCACATATTCACCAGGTTTTAGAACACAGACATACTTATCGGCGTCCGACAATGATGGTCTTTCTTGACTTAAAAGCAGCATTTGACTCTGTAAACCGAGAGGTTCAGTGGCAGTATCTGTCATTGAAAGGCATACCTCAGACGTACATAAACCTTGTGAAGCCTCTTTACTAGAACACTACTGGTCGAGTCAGAGCTTATGGCGAACTGTCATCTACTTTTGCAACTTGAAGTGGTGTCCGTCAAGGCTGCCCACTTTCTTCATTTCTGTTTAACTTCATCATAGACCTGTTGATGGAAATAACATTCTCGTCGACTGAATTTTCGGGTATTGATCTCATTCCAGGAGGTCCACTTATCGATTTAGAATACGCAGATGATATAGCCCTGTTTGGTGAAGACGCTGATAAAATGCAGTCTTCTGGTAGCACTAAGCAACAATGCCAGAATGTTTGGAATGCGCTTCTCTCCTTCTAAATGCAAGTTGTTGCTTCAGGACTGGTCTGCGTCAACACCTGAACTAAGGATAGGGAGTAAAGTAGTGAACGCGTTGACAACTTCACTTATCTTGGAAGTCTGATCAGCCCTAATGGGTTGGTGTCTGACGAAATCTCTGCACGGATTCGAAAAGCTCGTTTGGCTTTTGCTAACTTACGTCACCTATGGCGAAGGCGAGATATCCATCTATCAATTAAGAGACGAGCATACTACGAGACAGTCCGTTCTGTTCTGCTTTACTACTGCGAAGAGCGGCCATTAAGAGTCGAAGATACTCGTGAGCCTCCAGTAATTGACCACAGATGCCTTAGAAATATTGCTCGCATCTACTGGGATCACCGGGTAAGTATTAGTGAGGTTAGACGCATGGTATTAGGGAATGATGGTAAGTCAGTTGATGAGGTCGTGAATCTTCATTGACTGAGATGGTCGGGCCATGTGTTACGTATGCCCAACCACCGATTACCACTATGTGCAATGCTAACCGGTGTTGGAGATGGTTGGAAGAAAGTTAGGGGCGGCCAAACCAAAACGTGGCATAAGTGCTTGAAGACACTAACTTCTAGTCTGAGCTACGTTGGTAGATGCAGACTACTTGGTTGGGGTCCGTGTGACTATCGTAACCAATAGTTGGAGACTATTGGTGACATGGCTCAGAATCGATCACAATGGCGTCAGTGTATACACTCTCTATCTTCCCTTAAACTAAGAGTTTAAAATCGCTTCATATCTTCCTTTCTATGAACTAACTCTTTCTTTATGTACTATATCCTTATATGCAATCTTTCTTTTAGATATTACCACCATTGAATTAACTACTTCTATGAATCCGGTGTTCATCTTGCTGTGCTAATGCGGTATGGCAACTTGGACTGATGCATATATGTGCTTGGTTCTACGTTGTAGCTGACTGACTGACTGATTGCATCAGCATAATGAGGGAACTAACACTCAGATGGGGATAAGGGATTTATTATTTAATGCGCAATCACATAGTGGTGTAGTAAAATGTGAAAATAGATCATTTGTACATCTTTCAGGTGTCCTTTACATCCCTAATGTTTTTTCTGATTTCGTTTTTATTTCGATTCCTTTCTGTTGTCCATCTTCCTTTCTATCAATGTCAATCTTCTTTTGACAAGCAATCCACGTCTGTTTGGTGGTACAGACTACTTTTATCGACAGACGTAAGTACTATAGGTCACAGTATATATGGTAATAGAAAAGATTAAGCACACATGGTAACATTCATGAAAAATAACAAATTAGGGAAGCAAAAAAATCATTAGGAAGTCAATAGCTTAGGTTTTTAGGGGAAGACAAAGAGTGGGTTCTCTTGTACCATTGCAAACGGTTTTGAGCCATGTCGTTCAAAGTTTCCAACCATTAGTTGCAATAATCATGCGGACTACAACCAGGTAGTATGCGCCCAAGTACATAACTCAATCCAGTCGTCATTGTTTTCATGGATTGATGCCACGTCTTGGTTAGACCGTCTATGTTTCTTCCAACCTATTCCCATATCATGCAACGTAGCGCGTCGAGGTAGGCTATGGTTGATTATACGCAATATATGTCTCATACACTTCAATTGATGGGAATTCACTACCTATTCAATCGCTTTTCCATCCTTATGTAATACCTAATTCTTGACGCAGTGATTTCTTACTCGGTGATCCAAAAATACGCAAGCAATGCTTTAAAGATATCGATGTTTGAATACTAGTAACCTAAGAATATCCCCTATTCTTAATGACCATTTTTCATACCCATAAAATATAGTGGAGCGAACTGCTTCACTATGGACTCGTCCTTTTGTTGGTAGACAGATATCTTGCGTACGCCACAAGTGAGGTTAGTTGGCAAAAGCCAACTGAACTTCCGTAATTCATGTCGAAATTTTGTCAAACACCAATCCATGATAGCTGATAAGAATTCTCAGATAAATGAAGTGATTGATACATTCATCTACTACATAGGTCAGTCCAGAAGAAACATTTTGTATTTAGATGGAGAGGAACGCACCCCAAAACATCATTGTTAGTGAACATGACTATAAGATTTTGTTTGCGGTGTTGTCTTCTCCAGTTCAGAGAACATAACGTCTCCAAGATCCTCCTCGTAAGTTACAAATATTCTTAGTGTATAATACGTGATCGTCACTGACTATTATTCGAACTTACATCTTATAATATTTTTAAGCATTTAAATGTATGATCTTTCAACCTCTGATTCATACTGATATTAAGCTATGTTCTACAAAATAACTACGTTTTTGCTTTCTCCATCCATTCTTAATGTCATCAGCATGCACACTGATCGGTAAGTCGCTTAAAACACTTACCTAACCTCTTGGAATGATTGATATGAATTGACTTCAATCGTTATACTAAGACATCCATTATAATCAGGTACAACATTCAATCTCTGCATTTAGATTACAAAGACAAATTATCATATAGCACATACACAATCAGACAGATTGTATAGATCGGACACATTCGTTTTATTAACTATTTTTAGTCGAATACCTGCATGAATACATATATAACTACTTATATTCTTCATTTTTTTTTCTACAAGATCATCATCGAGAGTTAGCAAACACAAAGATTAAATTCACTTGATATTGTTTACTTGAATCTTCTCATTGATGTTTAGGACTGCAATTGATTGGCATATGTGCATATTGTGTGTATTGCCTTGATATTGCCTTAATTCAAAAGCATCATAAGCAATGATGGATAGGGGCTAGCAGTGGAATCCAAGAGGCGCGTTTTGTCCTATTCGGGACTCGTCAGCTGGATGTAACTGCTTTTCAAAGTTGATATTCACCCTGGGACTCGAACTCAGTACCGTTTGCCTCAAACACTATCATGTTATCCACTTAGCTACTGAGTCTTGATAGCCACGTGCTTGTGCAATGGGGTGAAGTTGTCACGCATATTATATCACTGCCGAAAGCCATCTATGGACTACAATATTTTGATTATAGTTATTTTCAAAACATTCTTCAGGTATTCTGGAACAAACGAGTAAGAATATTGAGATTGGGGTATAGTAGGCAAATATGGCGAATTAGTTTATTAGACTGTGGATTGGACATGTGTTAGTTATGCCCAACGACTGTCTGTTTCTGCTTCAAATGTTATCCAGAGTGGGAATATTAGTTGAAAGAAAACTAAGGGTGGTCGAATTAAGACATATCATCAGCTTATGATATCATTTACTAATTGGTTGGCTTTTGTTAGTATTTTCCAACTACCTACTCAAGGTCCGCGTTATAATTGTAATCATTGCTTGTAGGCCCCAGTTGACTTGGTTCATAATCACTCACAGAGGCACCGATCTACTTACTCTTTATCTTACTGTTAGCCTTCAGTTTCAGTTTTATTTCACACTTTTTATTCCTCAAATTTGTCCGTTCTCTTTGAATTATATTCTCTAGTGTTAGACCCTTGTCGTGATCATTACTGCTACTGTAACAGACAACAACAACTTGAGCAGGGAAATTAAATTTTAATTTGCAAGATTACGCACTGCATTTTTCAAATATGAAATCAATACACTAAATACACCACATATTTATCTTCCTTGAATTGTCTCTTACAAATTCCATCATTCTTCCTTTGCTGTTGTTACTCCGGCTGCTTTCTATTTTTCCTTTCTCATTTCCCTCTTCTGCCAGTAAGAATTTTACTATCACTTTCTACTACGTAATACTCATATCCGTCTGTATAAGTAACATACACCATACGTCTATTAGTTTAAACCATCTTAGCAACTCTGAAGTTGGACACTCAGAGTATTGGGTAAGTATGATAAACCAACTTACGAAATAATGAGGCTTCATCGACGGAGATGTATTACCGTATTCTTGTTCACCGTCTACCTCTAAGCACGATGATAGCTGATGTAGGAGTAGGTTGAAATGTCATGATCGATGAAAACAAAACATGGCATCACCCCATGAAGTCATTGACAATTGGGCTGAGTCATGTAGGTGGGTCCATACTACTTAGTTGTGTTCCACATGATTATCGTAACCAACGGTTAGAAAATTTGAATGACGGCTCAGAAGCGTGTGCTCTGGCTTAGATGCACCCATTCTTTGTCTTCTCTCAAATTGTGAGCTCCTGAATCCCTCAATCCTTTTTTTATCATTTCTCTGATTTGTATTTTCTCGACTTGTATCTTGGTTGCTTAATCTTTCCTATTATCAATAATACTGTCAATATTTTTAATACTCTGAGATTTGCTTTAATAATTTCATCTCACCGTTGTTATGGGGTTATGTGAACTGGAATCGATATATACAGATGCCAAGTTCTACATGGAAACTGACTAACTGACCCGTAAGCTTTTAAATCAAATACTTAAATGATGCAATATTTAGAATGAGAAAAAGAGATTTATCATGGTATTACAAACTCATCATTTTTTCTTATTCGTTTTTTTCTTCATTTTAGTCATGCTTCAAATCATTTCGAACATGATAATAATGATAATCATCTTCACTATACTACTGATGAAAATGTTATTGTGTCTTCTTCAAATAACAATGAGAAAACATCGCCTAATGATACAGAATCATTGAATAATATCATGATAGAATCAACAGTAAAGCAACAAACTATTAGTTCACATTAAAATGTTATTTTATCTAATTTCCATGTATACAGAATTGTTTTTGCCTACCTTTCTCTCTCTCTCTCTCTCCTTCTCCCCCCCTCAATTTGGTTTTCATGCTTCCCAAGTGTGTGTGTGTGTGTTTTATTGAAAAAACATCTTGTCTATTGGTCCTATTCATTTTTTTTTAATTTCCCTTCTTTTTGTGTATGAAGACTTCAGAATTTTCTATGCATTATGCAAAGTTTAAACTAACTAGCTAATGGCAATTTGTTTACTGTTTTCTTTATAGATTAGTGAATTATGTATTTATGCTTGTATTGAAAAAAAATATATAAAAGAAACATTTTGTTTCACACCATTATATCTATTACTTTCTCTTTCTCTCTCTCTCTGCCTCTGCTATTCACTTGAGTGTTTGTAAAGAATAATAATAATAATAATAATAAACATCGTAATGATTATAATTATCACTATTATTACAGTTACAGTGTTATGTAATCTATGCATAAATTCTATTATTGAAAAGAAGATTATCTTTTTTCATTTTGGTAAACAAATGAATTTGATGAATTTATAAGTTAATTGAAACTAGATCAGGATGGAAAACTTGAAAACACTGAACGGTCGTTTTTTTCTTATTGTGGAACTCTTGAACAGTGCGTAATCACGATTCTGTCTCGTGAGATTCGAACCCAGGACCTATCAGTCTTGCACGAGAACGCTTAATCTCTAGACCATTGAGCTGGCAATTTCGTGGACTAGTTGAAGTTAGACATTAACACCGTTGGTTAGGCGTTCGTGCGTGAGACTGATATGTTCTGGGTTCGAATCTCGCAAGGAGGCGTCGTGGATGCGCACTACTGAGGAGTCCCATACTAGGACGAAACGGCCGTTCAGTGCTTCCAGGTGCTCCATGGAGGTCTAGCTTAATTGACTTATGAATCCAATTATAAAATTACTAAAATCTCCACAAAATCTTTTCTGAAAATAAAATTGACTTAGTTTGAAATAAAGGGTATCAATGTTTCGATTTTCCGTTAGAACGGGAGATTTTCTTGACAATTCATTTTTCATTATAATATAAAGTTCATAAAAAAACATACTCTTCAAAATACTTTAGTTCTCTTAAAGGCGAAAAAAATCCCTTTTATGTTAACACACAATTGTGTCTACAAATTAGGATGTGTCGATTGTGATGCCTTCTAATATTAGAGAGTCATCTCACCAAATATTGACTGGAGCTGAAGAACATGTTAGGTACACAAAGAAACCATCTAATAATCCCATGGAACTGGAAAGATTCCAAATGAAATCAGAAATATTTTTAATTTTAACATATAGATATTGGTACAAGGAGGCACCATATACATACGCGCCACACAAATCTCATTCGATATGTGTGAGGGCTGTGATAGTACCCGGGTGGCCGAACTGAAGCAGGTGGTTTTCTTAGGGGGCCACTTCCCGAGCCTTCGACCTGAAAGTCTGATCCACAAGGCACTGGAGCATAGTAAAGAGATGCAGTCCCATGGGAGCCGGTGACCAACAATTGGTTCATACGCCATTTGTTCCTTCAGGATACTGGAGGCAGCCGATGTGCACCATTGATTTGGAATCCGGTTAAAGCGCCGGACATTCACTTTTCGTCCTCTCAATTTCGTAAACAACACTCGTGATGCGAGAAGGTAGTGAGTAGGACTTCCCTGGCAGAGGCCATTTACGCGTGGCCATGTGAGAGCATTTGGAGAGGGAGAGCGAACTCTGCCCACTCTCGGCCATACCAGGGCATTTGGGGGCTCAGAATAACAGTTCATATCATTTTTATCAACTATCAAATCGATATTAAAAAAACATCTAAATAATACAAAACAGCTTTATCAACTATAAAGAAAGGTGAGTGACTGAAGCTTTTCATATATTGCTTAATCCTATCACCCTCAATAAAAAGAAAGTCTCACTATCTATCTAACTTGGACCATCTATCCGAGCTAGTATGTCTGACTTTATTCTCACATTTCACACAATTATCGTACATACAAATCCAACTCTATCCTTTCTCACCACAAATGTTATATATTTCATCCTTTACCATACATACATACAAATATGCCTCATGTAAATCCCCTTGACCAGAATGACGTAACACTGACCAAGTCAGCGTCATGTGGTTTTTGATTGATCGCACCAAATATTCTTGTTTTGTACGTTTATACTATTTCAACTAATTAATTTGATTTGGTTATTTATTCTCCGAAGAGGTGGGTTACACTGAGTCACGAAACGTCAGAAAATTTAACAACTTAATTTTTCTACTCTTCGGAATGTTACAATTATATTTTTTACTTATAATAATCTATCCAATGTTTAATTTATTTGAAATGATCAGGTCAAACTTTGATAATGATACCTAGAATAAGGTTTACTTAATTGAAGTTATCCAAAAAGGTTTTGATTATACAATGGATGTGTTATTTTTTGTTTGGTAAATGAAGTATTCATTTTCAAGTGGTATTTTTATCCTTAACAGTTCATTATATTTATGGTTTACATCCGGTGTACTGCTTTTGTAGCCGTATATTTCACTCCAGTTAGATTGTATGCTGATTGTTATCGAAATATACATACTGTCAACCTTCATATATATTCTTATTAACTTAATTCACATTAAAGAATAACAGAATAAAATGAGCCAAATGCGAGAATGTATTTTGAATACGTATATTATATACATTCATTGATACGACAAGACAGTCAGAGAAACAAAGTGATACTCAGCGGAGAAGACAAGTGAACTAACTTGTTTTGATCATGTGTGACACAATATTTATATTTAGACAAATATAAATTACAAACACTAAATGAATAGGGCAAGCAATCACATAAAAACAGTCAGGATTAATAAGCGAATCAGTGATAATAAAGTCAAAATATAGTTTGAGAAAAAAATGACTAGAATAGTCTGTCCAGAAGTCAACGTTAATAACCTATGTGGGTTTGATCTAATACCAGTCAATAAATTGCGTTACACTGATATATTCATAATAGAAAGTTGGTAAAATATTTGGAATTGAATTTTTAATGGAATGTGTGTACACTGTGCAATATTTATAATTCTCTAAATAAGTTCTGGATCTATTAATACACAAACCAATTTTATATCAACATTATAGTTACTTATCCAACTAAAGATATCTAGGCTGAAACCATAACTAGGTGTACAATTAACATTCTGTGATAGGGAGTTTTGTGTTTAATGAATCACTAAGACATTCATCTTGGGATAGTGTGAGAAAAGACACATGGTGATTTCTAATTCTCAGTTAATTAATGTTCATCAATTTCCTATAAAAAAATCTTTGAATCACTCATGTTATCAGTCACGTGAAGGTCACTGGTTTGATAAGTGTAAAGTGAGTCCTCAAATGCCCTGGTACGGTCGAGAGTGGAGAGAGTCCACTCTCCCTCTCGAAATCCTCTCACATGGTCACGCGTATATAGCCTCTGCCACGGAAGTCCTACTCACTACCTTCTCGTGGCGGAAATATTGTTTACGAAATTAAGAGGACGAAAAGCGAATGTTTGGCGCTTTAACCGTGTTGGTGGACATGGAGAGTCTACCAAGGGAGTTGGAAAACCCTAATTCCAACCCAATGGTGCACATCGGTTGGCTCTAGTATCCTGAAGGAACAAATGGCATATGAACCAACTGTTGGTCACCAGCTCCCATGGGACTGCACCTCCTTACGATGCTACACTGCCTTGAGGATCAGACCTTCAGGTCGAAGGCTTGGGGAGTGGCCTCCTAAGAAGACTACCTCCTTCGGTTCGGCCACTTGGGCAGTATCACAGCCCTGACACATCGAATGAGATTTGTGTGGCGCGTATGTATTTGGTGCCTCCTTGTACCAATATCTGTGTTAAAATAAATAAATAGAAGCTTCAACCTTAGTTCTAAACATGGGAGAAGTGAAGATATATGGTCATGTGGTTGAATTTATGCTTTAACGTTTTGTTTCTTATAACACATAGAAAAAAGCCAACTATTTAAAATCAATAGTCCCCTGTAATTTTCCATATAAATTTTTGCATTCACAATAACTGTTTTCTAATTGATTATAACTTGTGAGGGTTATTTTTTAAGAATCATTCAACTTCGATCTTATATTATAGTCTCATCGTGAGACTATAATTTATGGACGATCTTTGAACGATGCTAAACAGACCTTCAGAATGTCCACCTAATAAATACGACTAAATGAGGGGTATAAACCTGTGTGAGGAATTGTAATAATGATTTACAGTTGGTAGGGTTAAAGTTAAGAATAAGATTTAGGGTTTTCATCACGAACTGACATCAGCTATAATGCCAAAACTCCATTTATCCAAATGGATGGGTAAATTTCGCAGCAAAATCTAAGACTTGTTATTTTATCTCTGATTGGTTCGTCCATAAATTATAGTCTCACCATAGGTATCTATACCAAGGATGGACTTGATCATTTCAAATCAATTGAGCATTATGTATAGAGTTAATAATTAATATATTTCTTGTTATATCCCAATAAGTAAAACATTTTTATTCCTGATGTTTCGCAACCTAATGTAAGGTACTTCTTCGGAGTAATCAAATAAATAACCAAAATTAAGTTAACACAAGTTTAATTCCGGCCATTTATTTACTTGCTGTGAAGAAGTAGCCTACATTAAGTTACGAAACACCAGTGGTATGTGGATGAAAATGATAATGATTGGTCGTCTGCATGGTTAGACATGTAGATACTCTGACAGGTGTCCAATGAGTTATATATTCCACTATCCTTATAATAATTATTGTTGATTGTTGTTGGAGTGTGTTGGGTTTTCGGTGTGGAAATATATTGACGTTCTAGTCAAGCGAATCACGTGTTCTTAATTATCTGAGTTATGTTGAAGTTCTGTAGAATATGCATACTAAGATGGAATCTAGTGTAGATAATCGTTTAAGGTAAATAAACGTCCCATACATGTAAACGTCTGGAAACTAATTGTTATAACAACCAGAAATATAATTTTTCTACTCATCGAATCTCGCCAGGCGAGGTCGTCAATGAGCACTGCTGAGCAGTGCCATAATAGGATGAAACAGTCGTCCGGTGCTTCCAGGCTTTGCATAGTGGTCTAACATTGATTGACCTTTATTTTTACATTGTCCTTTTATAACATGAATTGATTTATAATTAAACATTATTTTCTGATTGGCTGAAACATCGTTCAAGGTCATCGGTATTGTTTACTTCTATGTCAAGGAAACAAAACTTATGAAATAATTCAAGGATTATTAAGAAGTTACTTTATAAAGATCTTTTTACTTAATATTGTCATTGTAATGTTATGACTAATGATGTTAATCAGTTTTGAAGATAAATCAATATTTTTGACGATGATATAGAATACAAATGATGTTTCTTTTTTTTTCTCTTTAAGAATTCATTAAATGTGAGATAGATAATGACTAGAAATGAAATCCAAGATACGCGTTTTATCCTATTTCGGACTCATCAGTTGGAGGCGATTCGCACAGGATCATTCAGTCAGTCAGCAACAACGTATAACTTCGTACGTACGTACATCAGTTCGAGTTGCCATACCACATTAGCACAGAGATGCAGTTGTCGATTCAAATCCCATAGTGATAGAGGTATTAAAATTTTAAGTAGTAATCGGAAACATTAGGGTTTGGAGATGTTATTTAAAGAGTATAATCCAGTGAAATAAACTTGGGAAGAGAAAAATAGAGACAAGGAGGAATACGGAGATTAGAATTCGGGAGAACACAAACAGTGGGTGCACCTGCTCACACCATTGCAAACGATTTTAAGCCATGTCATTCGGGGTCTCTAACCATCGGTTGCTATCATCTTGCGGTCCCCAACCAGGTAGTCTACACCTTCCGCACAGGATGCACATATGCCAACTTGAGACTGATCAAT